TAAGAGCGTCATGTGTCCCCACTGTCTCTCTGTCCCCTCAGGAGTCTCTGACTTCTACCATGAGAAGAGCATGCCCTGGATGCCTGCTGGTCCCAGATCAAGGAAATACATGGAATAATCTCAACCCAACTGTTATGGGCTGAAATGTGTCCCCTGCAGATTCATATGTTGAAGTCCCAATCCCCAATCCCTCAGAATGTGACAATATTTGAAGAGGTGATGAAGTTAAAATGAGGTCATTAGGAAAGGTCCTAATCCAGTCTCACTGGTGTCCTTAGAAGAAGGGGAAATCTGGACACACAGCGAGACACCAGGGATATGCACACACCGAGGAAAGACCACACGAAGAGCAAGACAGGGAGAGAAGTACCAGAGAAACCAACCTTGCCAGCGCTTGCTCTTGGACTTCTAACCTCCAGAATTGTGAGAAAACATATTTCTGTTGTTTAAGCCACCGAATCTGTGGTGTTTGTTATGGCAGCCCTAGCACACCAAAATACCAACCCACAGACCAGAACTAAACCTGCAAATCCCAGCAGAGCCTCAGCCAACCCACACCACAGGCCCACGAAAGATAAAAATAAATGCCCAAAGTTGTAAACCACTCAGCTTTAGGGTTGTTTGTTACACATTATTATAGGGAAAAAATTGACTTAGTACAATTAATTTTTCCCTGGGCCAATTTTGACAATTTTCTTTGTTACTCACAACGTGATTCCTTAGCGATTTATTAGTCTAAACAAATTTTACTGCCTGAGTATTTCAACAGTTTCTGTTGCGTTGAAACTGCTCCTGCTGCTAGCAAAGCATCAGGGTTTGGGTCAAAACATACTAACGAACATTTTCACAGTTCTTACCTCATCAGCTTCCGACTGGCTGTCCCACCCAACAGGCTCGGAGACCTGGATGCCAAGGCTCCTGTACGCTTCATATTTGGGTCCCCAGCAACTCTTGTGCTAAGATGGTGACTAATAAATGAATCCCTCATGCCAGATAGAACCTAGGCCCAAGGAAGCTGCCTCTCTCAGACAGAAATTAAATGGGTGTTCAAGGCTCCCCATATTCTGGCCCCAATATACTCCCCCAGCTCTACTTTTCCCTGCTTTCTCCAGACTTGTCCCTTCAGGAGAGGCAACAGGGATGCCAAGGCCCTGTATGAGTCTCCCACTTTCCTACCTCCCCTTGTCCACCTCTCCCTTCTCCTCTGACAGCCCTTTGGCTCCCTTTCCTTCCTCTATCATGCCACGGTCCTCACTACCACAGGGACTTAGCACATCCTTTTTTTTTTTGACTCAAATGCTGTTCCACCACCCATTTCACCTAGTTTATACCTAGTCATTCTTCATATCTCAAGTCTGAAGATACTTCCTCAGGGAAGCCCTCCCTGACTGCTCTAGATTACGTCAGTTCAACCCCCCCCACACACATTGCTCAGTCCAAGAACCATGTACTTTCCTTTCTTAGCACTCATTTGTATCATAATTTATTAGGGTAACTGTCTGATTAATGTCTGAGTCCCCATTCACTCTGAGGACTCATTCACTCTGTCCCAGAGCCTGGTACATAGCGGATGCACTCTAAGTATTTATCGAATGGATGAATACAGGCTGGGACAAAAGTAGGTTTACAGTTGTGAGTACATGACACACAGTTTATTCTTGTATTATTATTTATTAATTATTGTATTATTTTCCATAAGAACAACTGTAAGCCTGCTTTTGCCCCAGCCTGTATTGTTGTTACAACTGCTCTGCTAAATCCCTCCACTGGCACCCAGGGTGGCCAGGGAGGTGTGCTGCTCAGGTTTCCCTCCCAGAGAGCCTGCTATGGTTCTGCCGCCGCCTTCCAGCTGAGGCCACGGTCCTCCTGGGCCGCTCCCAGCCAGGGCCTGAGCACAGCGGGGCCCTAAGGATGGGGCAATTTTGCCCAACAAAAGACTTCTCTAATGGGCCTTTTTTTTTCTGGGGCTACGCACTGGCCTGGCCAAGACTTTCTCAGATTTGCTGTTCCAGTTATCAATTTATTGCCTCTCAATTCCAAATTCACCCTTTAGTGCCTGCTCTACGATACAGAACTGGACTCTGAGCATTGCCTCCCTTACAGTGAGATGTTGAACTTCGCCAGAAGAGGGTGCTGGAGGGGACATTTCAGGAGGAAAGAGGCTTGGCTTTCTGGTTCTGGGTGTGTGTGTGTGTGTGTGTGTGTGTGTGTGTGTGTGT